TTTAAAAAAAAAAAAAAAAGAAAGAAAGAAAGAAAAAAAGGGGGATCCAGATAGGGTCCAGAAGGGGTCCAAAAGGGGGTCCACGTTTTGTACCGAACCATGTGAGAGCTTGGTTGCTCAGCTCAAAATGGCAGTAAAAAACATAACACCGTGTTGACATCACAAAATTGACCGGAAAAAGAAGGAGCAAAACTTCATTTAGGGTCAAAATGCCTTAGAAGATTAGCAGGGTCTTCGTTTTTGAGTTTTTGGGGTCTTAGGGTCGTTTTTAGAGGTCTTCCTTTTACAGACACGTAAGATCGCGTAAGAGCTAGAGTTCGACCTTCAAGCTAGAGACTCGCGCCAAAAGGTGTGAAAGTTGGCAGGTATAGAATTTGTCCCTTTGTTTTTCTACTAACGCTTATATATTATACCTGTTCTAGTAGGCTAAGCTTATATTAAATATTGTAAATGTTAAAGTTTGCGAGTTTATGCTAAGCTTACCTTCATCCAGCAAAGCACTGCATTGATCAACAAGCAAAACGTCTCCTTATTCCTCCTCCTGGCGCTGACATGTATAAAAAGGAAAAACAGTTACCTACTGTCTCACATCAAGTATTTCACTGGATCAAGCCGCTTTAAAACAAATAACAAACCTTTGAAAAATTTCACTTTTGCCCACTTGCAAAATGGCAGCGAAGACTATTACACCTGCAAAGACCAGTGGGAAATAGCAGGGTAAAAGGGGAGGGGAGGGAGGGGGCTGCGTTGGTTCTAGGCTGCGATCAGGCTCTACTTTTGGAAGTGTCGCTATCTGGCTTTTCGCCTTGGTGCGTGTGCGAGTTTACGAATAACCTGCGATTCCCGCGATCAAGAGTTCTGTTTTGTTTGGCGTCTGAATATAAGGGAGGGAGGGTATGATCGCAGGTTAGTTTACGAACGACGCGCTTGATGGAACAAACGACATCGGGGCGCGCTTCGTTCGTCTCGCGTGTTTCTCTTGCGGTCCAAAATACGAGACAGCCTGCTCGCAGGCTACAAAGTTCTCTGCGTGACGATCTTGAGAAGGCTTAAATTTCCATGGCAGGTCGGGTCTTACGTCGTGGTTGAATAACGAAAATATAAAGATGTTTGTCAAGTTTTGTAAAGTTTGTAGAGTTACCGGTTGGAACGAGTTGCCCAACGTTTATTAGGTAATTTGCCGTAATCCAAGGAAAATAACGAAAACAATTAATTTTAAAAACGTCTTATTATCAGCGCGCTTTATTTAGCTAGCCTAAGAGGTTGTCATACTGTAAACTTCCTAAGACAACGACCCCCAAAAGTAACGTCAAAAAATTGTGGCCGCCAGTAAATCCCGTAAGTAACGATCCCCCCCCCCCC